TGAGAAATGTGGTTTCAATATTGGAAATCTTTGTGATAGCCTTAATATATATTTTCATAATTATTTATAAAATTTAAAGCTTCAAATATAGTGTTGATCAACAGATCTATAAAAACTTGAAAATCTTGAATATTGACAGTCCAAAAATGTGTTACAAAATACACTATTTCCAAAACTTTAAATCCATTTTTTTCTCATGTCCATCCATCTTGATGTCGAGATGATCAATTTGAAGATATTTGGGCATCAAAACAACGTCTTCTAGTGAAATGTTTGAGGTAGGCTCAAATTTGATTGTTTAGAGCTTCCATCTTAAAAATGGATGCAAATGGGTGGTTCATATAAAAACAATTGCAACTAACGGTCCAAATGTTTGTCTTAATATAATTATTATTTTTAGTTTTAAAAATTTATTTATTTTTTCATATTCATGATCTCTATGTTAAGGATTATATATTCTCTAAAAATTATGATCAAATTATGTTTAAAAAAGATATTTATTGCCAAGCTTGCATTTGTACATGTGCGGGCTTGGCCGCATGCTAACCGCGTCCAAAACTAAAACAAGTTATTATTTCATTTGTAGTTTTGAAAGCCCATTTTCTTAAAAATTCAAGGCATACTAAACAATAGAATTTTATATTAATACAAAGGGCGAGGTTTCCATAAAACACAAACCTTAAACAATCAAAAGTAAATTGTAAAATGTACTCTGTATCAAAAACCTATACAATGACCTACAAATCTAATGTTATTCATAATTATAAAATTTAATGCTTAAAAAATATACAAATCAAGCAAATCTATAAATAATTAAAATTTATAAAAATTGAAGGCATGCCCTATTTTAATAATATAAAGTTGACACCTTCTATAAACTTTTTTCTAATGCAAATTTGAATTTCACCTTGAATAAAACATAATACTCGAATTACAAATTTAGTTAAATTATAAAATAAAAAATATGCCTATCAATTTTTTCTAAATTTCTTTCAAATTAAGATGTATGAATAGAGAGTACCATATTTTGTCTTCTCAAGTTTTCTAAAATGTGACTACTTTTGGAGAGAGCACTCCCCCTGAATAACACAAATTTCCAAATATATACAGTAGCAAGTCTAAATTTTTAAAAAAATAATAAGGGTTGTACTTTCTCCTCAAGATGGTTCAATCAAGACGAGAGAGAATGATCTCCACAATTAAATTAGCAAAAAAAAGTGAATATATTTTTTATTAATACCTACTCAAAACAAAAAAATTCACCATTTTAAACTAAAGCCCAAAGCAATACTTTTTTTTTACTTAATTAATGTACACTGGTTTGTGTAGAGCCTAGGCTCTAAACAATCAAATTAGAGCCTACCTTCAGTGTCAAGAAATGTGGTTTCAATACTGGAAATATTTGTGATATCCTTAAAATATATTTTAATTTTTATTTATAAAGTTTAAAGCTTCACAATAGTGTAGATCGACATATCTATGAAAACTTGAAAATCTCAAAAATTGACAGTCCACAAATACATTATAAAATACATTATTTTCATAACTTGAAATCAAATTTTTTCTCATGTGCATGCATCTTGAAATCGAGATGATCAATTTGAGGATATTTGGGTACCAAAACAACCTCTTCTAGTGAAATTTTTTAGGTAGCCTCAAATTTGATTGTTTAGAGCCTCTCTATATAAACTTCTCCCTTTAAAGGGACATTTGAAACTCAAAATGATTCATTTTCCATACTTTACAAAGTTAACCCAAATTTTGAGGGATCATCTCTATCAAGCAGAGAAAAATGTTGTTGTTTATTAATTCAAAACAAATTATCTAATCCACAACAACCATACTCCCAAAGAACAATTATTTTACAACCATACCAAAATCCAATGGTCTAGATCAGTTTTTAAAAGAATGGTGATCTAGATCAAAATCCGTTAATCTGGTTCAATAATCAAAGGGGCCCATCCAATACCAACAAAATATCAAGAACAGCCCAATCCTCTCTGAACTAGAAAAATACTTAAAGTTAGGGATTTATCAATAGGTAATGTTGCTCCAATACCTAACCAAAGACTTATTGTCGTACCGAACAAGAGGACTATTGTAGCTACTGGACGACAAATGGATTTTGGAACTTATTAACACTCTTCAAAAAAGGTACTATCAATAATCCCCGTTAAGGCGGAACCTCAACCTGTGCTTGAGAGATAGCTATCCATACACAGAGATAGCTATCCATATGCTGACAAGGGATGTATGGATTTTCGAAAAGAGAGGAGCCATGATAGTCATTCGGGACCGCTCGGATCCCACAAGTCAATAGAAAGTTGGATCTACATTGAATCTCATCTGAATCACCCCATCTATCCTCCTGGGATAAGTTTGGTTTCAAACTCTGGCTCGCACTGGAGTGATGAACCTACCCAATTTTACTTTCTAATTTTTCAATTTTTCTTGTTCCCTTATTTTTTTCAAAATTTTCAATTTTTCTTGTTCCCTTATATTTTCAAATTTTTTATTAAGTTTACTTGCCAAGATTGCCAATCTACCAAACTAGACTTTATAATTTTTCAATTTTTCTTGTTCCCTAATATTTTTAAATCTTTTATTAAGTTTACTCGCCAGATTGTCAAATTACCAAACCAGACCTATTTTCCAAATGGGCCATGTGAGCAGTCGATCAGATGAGCAAACTAAATCACAATCAGACCGATTTTCCAAATGAGTCATATGAGTGGTGGGCCAAATGAGCGATCTAAGTCACTGATCCACTAGGATTGTATACAATGAGACCATTTACCTTTGGTACAGGGAGTTCACAATTACTCATAACAATCTGATGTGAAACCTAATAAATTGGGTGTGTCACAAAGTTCGAGAAAAAAAATTTTGAACTTTGAGCTTGGTCAATAAAATAAATGCAGCTACCCTATTTCACATCCAATGGTTAAGATTAATTATGACCATTTTATACCAAAGGTAAATGATCTCATTATATACTTTCTCTTGTTTTAAACCTTATTCTAGTTGAAAGTTTTTTTAAGTAAATTCCCCAAATCACTAACAATGTTAAACCTATTATTCAAAAAAAATTATCACAAATATACCTTAATTTTCATCTATTTAGAAGAAGAAAAAAATCCAACTTTTATAAACCTCATCCACACATTTTCTTCCTTCAATTTTAGGTGTATTGTTATCAAAACAACCTTAGTCGCATTAACGTAAAGCAGTACTTTAAGTATCATAATAAATACTATATTTTATACAATACTTAAAATACTGTAATAAATACCCCGTTTTATACGGTAGAAAAACAACCGTGATTGTTTCTAAAAACCATTAAAGCCCTTGTGAAGGTCCTCTCCAGTCCAAACTTGGATAGATGAAGAGGTTAAGAAACAGGGTGAAAACAGCTGGAGCACGCTGCTAGAACCAGTCCCATTTCGACATTTCTCTCTCTCTCTTCACTGAGATCCAGAGCCCCACTCTCTGTCTACATTTATACAGGAATTTGTACCCTCCCTTTCTGTATATAATTTTTGCCCTCCCTCTGCATATAAATTTGGCCAGGGCCCTGTGCATACCCTCATTTTCTCTCCCACTCTCTCTCTATTTATCACTCTACGCTTTCTCTCTCTCTATACTTGGCTATTTTTTTCAAGAGCCCTGTGCAACCCATTCATTCTTTCTCCTGTGGTGAATTTGGGCTCGTATCTTTTTTTTTTTTAAATAATTTAATTTGGGCTGGTTGTATCCACTTTAATGGCGCTCTCCATGTCTCTTGGCCAAGCTCAAACCAAGGCTCCTCTCGATAAGAACTCAACTTCAAAACCACGCCTCTCGTGGTAAGAACCCAACTTCAATTTCATTCATCTCTCACATGCATCAAAGAAACCGATCAAACAAACAGTAGCCAAAGCCAAACCCTTAATTTTACACTTAGGGTAATTGGAGTATCTTAATAATCTTTGATTATGTCCATATTATAAGATGACGAAAAACAAGAGAATTCATTACCGTACTTAAAATACCATAATGATACTAAACCTTAAAAATAAATATTCATTACTAAAATGAAATATTCTATTACAGTACTTTAAAGTACAGTAATTATACTAATCCGAAACAAGAAAAAAAACAAATAGTGGAGGAAATTTATAAAAGTTTGAGATTCTTTTCTACTAAATAAGAAAATAAGGGGGGAAAAGAGGGGAATAAAACCAATATCGCATCTGCTGATATCGAGAGCATAAACACATCTCCACAGGATGGGGAGACTGAGAAACTATATCAAACATGAATTTTTCACAAGTATTGTTAAATTACGTCTCTCAGTAAACTCAAACAACTATTTTCCAAAAGCATCACTAGCAATAACGTATTTTATTTGAAACAAATAAAGCTACAAAAAAAAGGCATCCTCCAACTCTTCATCAAAAAGGAAAAGCTGAGAGCACTTATCTTTCGAACAAAACGATCACAATTAATCTCGACCCTTCGATGGGAAATTGGGTGGTTGCATTTAGGGTAGTTGCATTTATTCTATTGACCGACCAAGCACAACGTTGTACAAAGTTTAAAAATAATTTCCTCAAATGTAGAACACTCAAGCTATGACATTCACATTGGACGATTATAAGCAATTGTAATCGCATATACAATAGGTTATACAAGCCCCATAAATAATCATTTATGGAATTGGATTTCAATATACTTCATCTCAAACAAATAACATTAAATCCTTTCCTCAAGTTCTCGTACAAAGAAATTAAGACAATTTGATTTTGTTAATATTTTGCCAAAAAACAGTGATCCCACCGCTTAGTTTCTGTTATTTTGATTCTACTACAGTCTTTCCGCTTATGCACTACATTAAAAAAAAATCAAAACTACATTAAGACAACCACATGCACACACTCAAGCTAGTTAGTGTCACCATTTACAAAATGGAGGTTCACATAGTGGTAACATTGCATATATAAGAAGTCTTGCTCAATAACCAGATCAAAAAGAAACACACACCACAAACTATCACCACCCACATCACCATCACCACCACCACCACCACCAAGCACCAACACCACCATGATATCATCTTCCTTTCCACAAAAAGCAGATCAAACCCTAACAATGCAAACCAGAGTCTATAACATCTGGCATAAGGAAACCCTACCTTCAGCTACCTAAACACTTAAATCTAGTTCCTCCAGCTACCTTCAGAAACACCTCCACTCCTTGAAGAATAGCGGGAACCACCACCTCGGCTATAACCGCCACCGCCACCACCACCATCACGATTTCCATAGCCACCATCACGATTTCCATAGCCACCACCATCGCTTCTGCGCCCATAGCCACCACCACCACCACTTCGAAATCCACCGCCACCGCCACCTCCACCGCTACCCCTCGACTGAGCCTCATTCACAGTAATGCTGCGACCATCGAGAGTGAAGCCATTCATTCCCTCGATTGCATCACGCATGGATTGCTCATTGCTGAAAGTGACAAAACCAAAGCCTCGGGAGCGGCCAGTCTCACGGTCATTAATTATCTGTTGAAATCAGAACAAGAAAGAGAGTTTCATAAGGTCCAATGTTTTCAAGAGATAGCCTGTTAAAACTAACATTACAATAGATTTTTAAACTAATGGACAAAGTAATGTCTGAAGAAAGCAGCTCAAGTAATGCTCAACGTTTCTTACTTTTATCTTCACAAAGTTCAGTAAATGACATTAGAAACATTTCAGAAGGAGATAGAGAACAATAGCTTTTCAAGATTGAATCATTAAAAGCTAGCTAAGTAAATAATAGTGTTGCCTCAAGCAGAGTAATTAATGGTGTTTTTTTTGAAGGGGAAGATCAAAAAGGAAATTAATCATCCATCATCAAACTCAGTAAGAACATGAAAGACAGAACAGACCTAGACCATCAAGAAAACTAATTCAAAAACAAGAAGAAACCACAAGATTGAAAGATCGGGTAACACTTAAAAAGTAAACATCCAAAACAGACGTAGACTATCAACATAACTAAAACAAGAAAAAAGGGGAAACAGGAATGAGGGAGATAGATCAAACCAGGCAACCAAAGAAGAACCATGAAACCGAGAACCATACAAGAAAAAATAAATCACAGATAGATCGGATTCATATAACCAAATCAAAGGAAAAAGAGAGCAAGTGAGAGATCCATTTAGAGAACCAAATCTGAGGAAAAACAAAACAGAGCAGGTGAGAGATCAATCTTTAAAACTAAAATGAAGGTAAAAACAGAGCAAGAGCTTCATTCAACAGAATATAATCATCAAAAGCATAAATCAGATAGAAGCAATACACAGAAATTCGTGCACATAAAAATACACGAGCCACATGAAACAACTAAAAAGAATACATAATTTCTGCAAACAAAGCAAAGGAAAATACAAAACAACGAAAAATAAAAATAAAAAGAGAATAAAGAGGGGACAAACCTTGGATTCGATAACATCGCCATAAGAACTGAAGGCCTTCCCAAGAGTCCTGTCGTCGGTGGTCCACGCGAGACCACCTACGAAGCAGCGGTATTCGACATCAGAAGACGCCATGGAGTCCCAGAAACAAAGATCCAAACCCTAAAAACGAAAAAAAAGAAAAAGAAAAAAAAAGAGAGCCGAACCTTGGAGAGAAAAAGAACCAAAGAAAAGAGGGGGACGACCCACCTCCACTGCGCACAACAAACCCTAGACCTCCTTAGCTATTTTATTTATAGGATTTTTACTGCCCTTTAACCTAACCGTGGTTAAACCTAATCGTGCTGATGGGTTGAGTTGGCCTCCGTGACGACTTCCGTGCTAACATTTTCCAATTAGAGATCGCCACGTCATTATACTTTTAATTCGAGGTTCTTGGGCCCCTCAGCCACGTGACCATTAACAAAAATATCTTCTCTTCCTCCTCTAACAAAAAAATTTTGGAAAAAATAAAAATACCCTAAAACAAATCTTTGCATGCAAGTTATCCCAAGCTAACACCTTTTTTTTCTCTTTTCTTTTTTATTTTTTTATTTTTTTTATTTTTACAAATACTCCCAACAAAAAAATAAATAAATATCTAAATTACCCTCCTTTACTTTTTTTATTTTTTTCTTTCTTACCATGCCTCCTTCTCTATCTTACGAAAATAGGGCTCTAACACTGTGTAAGTACGGTTCGGCAGTGAATCAAGCACTTCGGCACTATGTAAGTACGGTTCGACAGTGGAACAATTTGGCACTGTCTAAGTGCAGTTTGGTAGTGAATCAAGGGCTCCGGCACTATATAAGTGCAGTCCGACAGTGGAACAATCTGGAGTCACAAGGTTTCGACATTATGTAAGTGCGGTCCCACAGTAGAATACTCTGAAATCATAGCGCTCCGGCAATATGCACAACACTCTGACAGTGGAATACTCTGGAATCATAGCGCTCCGACAATGTGACGGTGGCCTCCGACAAAATGCACAGTGCTCTGGCAATGCGATGGTGCGCTCCAGCAATGAGATGGTGCACTCCGGCAATGCGATGGTGCATTGTGGCAATATGCTATGGCCAAATTGATTTTTGTGCATGGGAAGGGCATTTTGGGCATTTTCATCTAAAAAAATTGAACGTTTTCCCTTGGGGGCATTTACATAAAAAGTTTGTTTTGGGGAAAAAAATGAGAAAAAAAGTCAGGTTGGGGTTAAGTTGCATAGAAAGTGTACTCTTAGAGTTTTTTGTAATTTTCTCAAATATCTTCTCTCTCCCCTTTTCGTCTCTCTATATTTTTTATTTTTTTACAAGAGCACAGATATTTTATGAATTGGTTTCTATGCACCCAAGCCCGCATATGTAGAAATATAGGCCTTTTAAGAAATCTATTTTTGAGATGGATTTTAAGACTTAATTTTTAAGAACATGTAATATATAATATGGAGATCATGAATATGAATAAATAAATAAATTTTAAAAACTAGAAATAATAATTCTAGTTAAAAAACATTTGAACAGTTAGTTTTCATTGTTTTTGGATGGAACACCTACTTGCATACATCTTTAAGAATGATGCTTTACATTCTCTTGATACGTAACTACAAAAGAGTTACATATCAAAAGCATAAGTAATAGTGCCAGAAAGAACCTGAACATCATTTTTAGCTAAAGAATCAGTCATATCGTTAGCTTCTTGATATACATGTTGAAAATAAACCACCCGATTTCGACAAAGATTCAAAATTTATTTCCAACATTCCTGCATTCCTACAAAGTCCATGGTGTTATTCCAATCAAATTACATCAATTGATGAAGTTTAAAGAATCCCCCTTCACTACCCAAAGCTAAATCAGCATAATTTAAACCTTTTAACAAAGCCATGATTTCAGCCTTATTAGCAGTTGCTTCCCCACACAGCACTAAAAAAGTAGAGATTACCATTGCCGCAAATTTTGATATTATCCCTCAAACACCAGCTGGTTCTGGGTTCCCAAAATAACTTCTATCAAAGTTTTAACTTCACACTGCCTTGCAAGAGTGGAACCCATTAACCATGTGGTCTAATTTTCACAACATTTTGTAAAATCAAATTATTTAAATTTCACAAAACATCGACTTTTGAACCTCCATATCCTTCTTTCGTGTTAGATTATCAAAACCAAACAGTATGAAGAATCATCTCCTTAATTCTTGCCATATCAGATTTCCATTAAACATACGTCTATTTCTTTCCAACCATACCTCGCAAACAGATAACCACTGAAAATATTCCAAATGATAGTACCTTTCTTTGGTAAGGTAGATAGCAAACAGATAAGCTCTGAAAATATTCCAAATGATAGTACCTTTCTTTGGTAAGGTAGATAAAGAAAGTTGTTGCACAATATCCAAATGTCATGTAAGCAACGGTACCATACATCCTATGATATTCATTGCCCATATCCACAAATGAGAAGCAATAGGGCAGTGCAAAAAAGGTAGTCTCATGTTTCCCCATCCCGTTTCCATAGAATGCACATATTAACGATCACATTTCTTCTTAGTCTCAAATCATCCACTATTAAAAATTTATTGTAAAGACTTTCGATTTCCATTAATTTATTTACTTTCCCTTTGCCGTAAATTCTTAGTTACAACAAGTCATATTTCTTCTTTGATGATTAGATTTTTGCTTCATTGAATCATCAATTGATCTCGCTTGATCAATGTAGTTTAAAGCTTTATCCAAACACAATTTGATATAGTCTTCCATAAGCTTTCTCCATAGATTTTTATAATATTTTTGGCTGATATTTCTTCAAGTTTTTAAAATATTTCTCCATGTAGTTTATATCTTTATCCAAACACAATTTGATATAGTCTTCCATAAGCTTTCTCCATTGATTTTTATAATATTTTTGACGGATATTTCTCCGAGTTTTTTATATTCATATCAATCACTTAGATCACCTTATTGTATTCCTAAATTGTTGATTTTACAAAAGAGAGACTACGCCAAAATTTCATGTGCCACCTTATGAACCAATTTTGCTTTTTAAAAAACTGGATCTCTCCCACGAACTTCCCACTTGTTTCATATATTTGAATATCTGCAAATCTTTCCATATTTGAAGTGTGTATCAGTAGATACTGGGCTTTCCATTTTACTGGATGATGAATTGGCTCGGATTTGTAATATGACATCACATGTAACCTATTGGTACATAGCTAAGACCCAAGGCAGTAAACTTAGCACCTGAGAGCTTCGATTGGCTTCCCATAGTCATTATGCACTTTATACTTGAGCAATTATATGTTAATGTAATGGAGATCATATTGTGATATACTAATATAGGGTGCAGTTTGTATAGAGCCTAGTATCTAAACACTCAAATTAGAGCATGCCTTCATATAATGTTGAGAAGTGAGGTTTCAATATTGGAAATCTTTTTGATAGCCTTAAAATATATTTTCATATTGATTTATAAAGTTCAAAGCTGCAAAAATAGTGTAGATCGCCATATATATGAAAACTTGAAAATCTTGAAAATTGACGGTCAAAAAATATGTTACATAATACACTATTTTCAAAACTTACAATCCATTTGTTTTTCTCATATCCATGCACCTTGATGTCAAGATGATCAATTTGAAGATATTTGGGAATCAAAACAACCTCTTCTAGTGAAGTTTTTTGAGGGAGGATCAAATTTGATTG